TATTTGTAATTTTGGTAAATAACGCCAAACTGCCTTTCAGAGGATTGCACCACTGTGAACTCCCACCAGCCAGGTGTGAGAACTGGAAGCCTTTTCAGCTCTAGCAGTTTTTATTCTATCTCCTTCCCAGGACTCAGGTCCAGTGGGTAACTTTGCGGGAAGTTTTTCTAAGATACGGGCTTCTAAACCAGCCATAGCAGGAGACTACACATTAGACAGAAACAGCTTTCAGGCAGCACTTTCAGGCAACCCAGCACAGGTCCTCTTCACATGTGAAATTTCTGGAGTCATATTTCCCCAGAACCGTGCTTTCCAGCTGGTGTGGCTGAGCTATTCAGTGACCTGTGCAGTCAAGGCACCTAATCGGCTTCAGGCCAGCCCAATATGGTTGCTACTTGCCACAGGTGCTCTTTAAATTTAAAATTAAATCAGAAGCTCAGTTCTTCATTCCACTAGCCACATTTCAAGTGGCAACCATATTGAACAGTGCAGATTTGAAACATTCCCTCCATCGAAGAAAGTTCTATTATATAGTTTTGGTCCAGAGAGGTGACCCTTTGTATGGCCCCAAATGGGAATGATGACAATGAAATGCAAGGTATAATCTTGGACCAGATCTTGGTCCAGTAAAATGACATAAAAGAGGTGCCTCGTTAAGCACAGTAGGTAGCGTGTCAGTCTCATAAAATGACATGAAAGGCCCAAATGACAAAATTTGAATAAGGTGTGAAGGTGAGTTAATAGTATCCTCTCAGTGTTAATTTCCTGGTTGGTTAACATTTGGGGAAGCTGAATGAAGAGTATTTGGAAATTCTCTGTACTATATCTGCAAAGTTTTTATAAGTCTGAAATGTTTTCAAAATTAAGAGTTGACAACTTTAAAAAATTCGTTTAAAAAAGGGGAAAAATGAGGCTGTGTGCCTCTGGGGACCATCAAAATATATAAGCCCTGAGTGGAAGCAGCTGTGCAGTAAGCACACCTTTCATAAAAGCCAGGGACTGAATTAAGGGCAGTTCTTTCATAAGGGATGAATGGAGATTTTCATCAGATGGGGGAGACAGATGGTGAATTTGACTCCAGACTTCATCACTTGATTAGCTGCTTATCCACCCTGAGCCTAGCATCTTCTCGAAAAGACATCCCTTGCATCTCAGGGGGTTGTTGCAAGGCTCCAATGAGATGCAAGGAGATGAAATTGAGCTAAGAGCTGCCAAGGACTAAACCTGTGGGAAGAGACTACCTACAAAACCTCAGACTGGCCCGTGAACCAATCCTGTGAAAAAGATGACAGACATTTGCCTGCTGGTCCTGCATAACTGTGGGTTTAAGTGGAAACAGCTGAAGTCTCTTTACAGTGATTATTTTTAGCCCTTAGACAGTGGTCTTCCTCTGTTCAGCGGCCCTCACTCTGCGGTTGCATGTTCTTTCCAGTTACATGGCTGTGCACCTAGGGTCCTCATTTGCTTTCTTCCTGAAGCTTTCTGCAGAAGACAAGAATCCTATTGCCCCTGACTCTTGTTGCCTAACTGCTTCCTCACAGGGCAGGTTTGATGTTTTAATTGTCTGCCAGAGCTTGTGTTTAAAGAAGATACAACAACAATATTTAAGAATATGTTGGAAAAAGAACCAGGTCATCTCTAATTCTTCCCCTCTGAAATGACTGGTTTCCCACTTTGCATGTGGCAGCTGGTGAAGACCCGCCATGCAGGGGACCTTCCCTCTGCCCCTCGACAATACGCTATGAACGCTTTTCCTGTCGCCGTGCTCCTTCATTACTATGGATGAATGCCTGGTTCCCCATCCTGTGGTTGCCCTGTTTATATATAAAGCACAGCAGGCCAACAGACATTACAGAGTTGAAGCCTTTTCATCATGAGCTGATTTTGTTATTAGTGAGGGGTCATTACTAGAACCTGTTTCGCTGCTTGTCTGATGGTTCCACTTGGTGCCCTGAATCCCAAATCCCCCCCAAAACTTTTGGGATTGACAGACTCAAATAGGTTGTGATGGCCTCAGAAATTTTATTTGATCAGATCGTAGTAGTTCAACTCATCTTAAACCAGTTTTGGACCATAGATCTTAATGTTTGTGAAAAAAACCCCTGCACGTTGTTCTCGCCTTACCCCGAACTGAGTGGTGGGGTGGGGTGGGGACATGGGATCAAAGCAGTATAAACAGCTGGATAGGAAGAGATTGTAGCTTCTATCACTGTGAAGTCACTGTGAAGGTCACTGGGAGCATCTGGGCCACCCTCATTGCACACATGGGGAGCCTGGGGCCCAGAGGTACTGTGAGTTGCCTGAGGCTCTGCCTGGGTTCCAGGAGGAGGAAGCGCTAGGACCAGCAATCTGGAAGGTTCAGAGCCAGTGCTATGGCACCGTGGTCTGAGCAGCCTTGGAGGGCCTTGCAGCTCTGACTCGGGCCCAGAGCTGCCCCGAGCAGGAAGCAGGCGAGAGGGAGACACTTACCAGCCAGGACCCTCCTGCAGTGGCCACGAGGCCCTTGAACAGCGCTCTGGTGAGTGCTCACCACGCTGTGTGGCCAGATGAGCAGCATGTGCCTGTGTTTCCCCATAGCTCCTGGTTCCTGAGGATCGGGGAGGGAGGGGGAGAGAGAGAAAATGTGCCCACCCTGTCTGCCTTACCAGAGCCAGGTCTGAGCCCACCCTTACTTCCATCAGAACACCAGGCCCTTCTCCAGATTTCAGCAGAGCTCAGCCCAGAGATGGGGAGGGGAGTGGGAGGGAGGGGTGGGAGGAGCGTAGGAGGGAGGGGTGGAGCAGCAGCCTCAGATGGTATGGGGGTGGGGTTTTGGGTCCGAGACTCCAGGACCTCCCCAGCCCCAGACTTTCTCCTGATCCTCCATCTTGTATCCTATTGGTGTCACTGCGAAGAGGGAAAGAACTAGCATTCACGGTGGTACCCAGATGCACTGTAGAGTTCATCTCTCTGACTGCTCACAGTCATCTCTGCTTTGCATGCTGTTCTTCCCCGGTACCAGTGGGTCTCAGCCACTAGTGCTCACTGGAAACTCCTGGGCTCCTCTGAGATTCCTATGTACTTGGGAGTGGGTGGCTTAGGCCCTGAGCGGGGTTAAGGCTTCCTAGGTGATTCCAATGTTTGGGAAATGAGTGCCTACTCTCTTCAGTGCCTGTGGTAGCATTAACTTGCTATTAAACTGTGGCCAGGTCAGCTCTCCCAGGTGGGGGCAGAGGCTTTGGCACAGCCCTGGGGGTACAGTCATCATGTCCAAGTCAGTCATCCACTGCATCCCTGATGCTCTGGTGTCTGTGGGCCCCCAGCGGGCACCTCCTCCTGGTGTTGCCTGTGATATGCCCCTAATATGTTTTATTTGACCCCTTTATTCACTAGCCCTTGTCACCAGTCTTGTAATTCACCAGTGCTCTTTAATTGTCTAAGAAATCTGCATCTGTAACAGAGTTTACTTTTGGACTCACTCTATTACAGATGCAGATTCTAAGAAATCTGCATCTGTAATAGAGTTTACTTTTGGACTCCCGCTTCCCTGACAGCTCAGTTGGTAAAGAATCCACCCGTAATGTGGGTAGACCTGGGTTTGATCCCTGGGTTGGGAAGATCCCCTGGAGAAGGAAAAGGTTACCTACTCCAGTATTCTGGCCTGGAGAATTCCATGGACTGTATAGTCCATGGGGCGCAAATAGTCAGACATGATTGAGTGACTTTCACTTTNGGTTGGGAAGATCCCCTGGAGAAGGAAAAGGTTACCCACTCCAGTATTCTGGCCTGGAGAATTCCATGGACTTCCATGGGGTTGCAAAGAGTTGGACACAACTTTTATTTTCACTTTTGGACTCCCTGCTCTATCTACTACCCGATTTACACATGTGTATGTCAGGAATCTCTGTGTTAAATTTTTAGCTTTCTAAGTTGAGTTAGACCCTTTTTGTCTTTTTCCCCCAGAGTATTTATTTATATATTCACTGTCTCTTCTTTCAGATGAATGGTAGAATCCTCAGGTGGTGCTAGTGGTAAATAATCCGCCCCAATGCGGGAGAACTAAGAGATGTGGGTTCGATCCTAGGGTTCGGAAGATTTCCCCTGGAGAAGGAAATGGACCCACTCCAGTATTCTTGCCTGTAGAATCCCATGGACAGAGGAGCCTGGCAGGGTACTATCCATGGGGTCACATAGTTGGACACGACTGAAGTGACTTAGCATGGACACATGTAGAATCCTTTAGTCAAGTTTCAAAAACTTCCTATTTTGATCTGATTAAAATTGAATGAGGGACTTCCCTGGTGGTCCAGTGGCTAAGACTCCATGCTTCCCTTGCAGGGGGGCCAGGTTTGGTCCCTGGTTGGGGAGCTAGATCCCACATGCCACAATTAAGACCCAGTGCAGCCAAATAAATATTAATAAGTAAAATAAAATTAGATCAAAGCTTTAGTTGGGGGAAAATTGATATCTACATGACACTTTTTTTAGCTGAAAACACAGGAATATTTAATATTTAATAATATTTAATATTTACCAAGTCTTCTTTCAAATAATTTGTATTGTCTTACTCATGTCAAATAATTTGTATTATCTTACTCATGTCACTCATATTTTAGAAACACACTACTGTAAGTGGAATATATTTTAAAAAATACCTCTATATATTTTGTCCACTTCTTGATGGTACAGAGGAATACTATGGTGTTTATATATTTAATCATATTTAGCCATTTCATTGAATTATTTTTTTTTAAGAGTTTTTCTGTTGACTCTTCTGGACTTCCTATGTACATAATTATAGCATCTGAAATTAATAAATCTCTCTTCCTTTTCAATATTTACACTCTTAATTTCTATTTCTGTTTCATACCTTAATACCAGGGCCAAAATTTCCAAACAGATGTTAAATAATAGTGGCAACAACAGTTCGCTTTCTTCCTACAGGAAGTAAAGGCAGTGCCTTTAGCTTTGTGTGTGAAAGATGGGTATCAGCTCAAGCTGACTCACAAGGCATGTGACATTCACAGGTCAGCTGAAGGGGGAGGGGCAGAGGGCTCAGCTGTGCAAAGGCCTGGGGCGGGGGAGAGCACGTGGCACATTGGAAATAGTGTGTGACTTGGTGAGGATTTTCCCCTAAAAGCACAGAAAACTGAATACACCCATGTGCCCCCACCCCTCCTCCTGGGTTGCTCTGGGGCGCCAAGGCAAGATGGTACATGTCCACCGTTGCTCTATGGCTTGGACATGGGCCTTGGTGAACTCCCAGCAGTACGCCAGCTTCTTCTACTTGTGGGGCCGCAGGTAATGGGAAGCCAGTTGCCACAGCATTGGGCAGAGAGGCTGTGTTTCCTGCTGATGGTCCTGCTTAATGGTCAAACTCTTCCCAGAGGGGTTACAGAGGTCCCTGCACAACAGGCGGTCCCGTGGGGCAGATCCCAGTAGTACAACAGCCATCTTGGGGAAATCCCTGCCAGGCTCCCCCTTGTTCCATGAGCCTGGGCCCAGAACTGGCATCATCACAGACCTGGGGCCTAGTGTCCATTACTCTGGTTTTTGACTCTATGCCTGGGTTTGAGTGCTGGAACCTGAGCTGCTTACATATTTTTCCATCCAGAATTCCTTTCCTTACCTTCCTGTCTCTCAATCCCATTGCCATAGTCAAAAGACCACCTGTGTGCCACCTTTTCCAGGAAGCCTTCCCAATTTTTCCTTTTATTTGTGTTCTTATAGCAGGAGTGTCAGTAGAACACCTCAGCAATTGTGGCTAAAACTAGGCAAGCCAAGAATTAGGCACTAACTAAACTTGCTGAATGCCAACAAGTAGAGAAGTGTGGGTTACAGAATTCTTTCCATGCAAAGAAGGTGATAAAATAAGAGGCTGCCAAAATTATGTAGTAGCATAAGTTAAACCCACAAAAGCCTAGACTGAAGCCAAAAAAANTAAAAACCACCACCAAAAGTCAACAAAAAACTCTCCACTCACCCTCATTTGTTGATGCTGGAACTGCAAATGCCTGACCTTACATTTGCTGCTACTCTTTCCCAACTCCAGAGCAGATATCCCTCATCAATGCCAGCACACTTGAGCCCTCTGGGCTCAGAAAGTTGCTTGAATAGAACACCCCAACCCACAGTTCCAATCACCTGGAGCTGACAGTGAGCTGGAACCAAACTGTCGTCTCTTTATTCATGTGTGTATGCATTCATCCATCAACGAGGAGCTAGGGCAGTGTCTACCAGTATCTCCACACTGGTATGGACCTCAGTCAGCCTTATTTCAGGTGGTTTGGGTGCTCACCCATCTTTTTATAATCCCAAAGAACCCTAGCATTAGGTAAAGCAGCAATTATCATTCCCTTGGAAACCGAGGGCTTCCTGAATTGGTCAGGGCTGAGGTTCAAAGCCAGCTCCACCTGAAGCCATTGCTACTCCCTTTCCAACACAGACAGACCAAGCACAGGGTCTCAGTAGCTTCTCCCATTCATAGAAGTGATCGGCTTCTGTGATCATGTCCAGCAGGCTCCTGGGGTTGCTGCGGGCAGCCACTGACAGGGCAGGTTTTCCTTGCTGCAGGTGAGAAAGGAGAAGGGAAGCCAGAGTCTGTACTCGAGGGTGTGTGGTGGTCTCTAGCTCTGACAACAAACCCTCCTGGCCAAAGCAAATGGTTTCCAGCAGTCTACACTGGAGAAAAGAAACGTTTTCTGGGAGAAACTCCAGGTATGGAAAGTCACAGTAGACTAAGGCAATAATAATAATTCTAGCAACCACCCCTTGTGTTCCTTTAGAAGAGGAGGCCTTAGAGCTTATAAAACTCAGCCTATGGTTCATGTTGATGTATGGCAGAAACCAACACAATATTGTAAAGCACTTATCCTTCAATTAAAAATAAATAAATTAAAAAAAAACAACACCCAGCCTACATAACTCTTCAAGGTCGTCTGTGAGATCACATCACCAGCCCCATTTCTCAGATGAAGCTGAGACAGACCTGGACCTGGAAGACTTTGCTGCAATGCTTGCACCTGGACACACCTCTCCTCAAGCAACAAAATACAAAGAAACTATATGAGACTAAAACTAACTGCATGCAGGCACAGTTGGGGCAAATTCTGGATCCCAAAGATCAAAAGAGACCAAAAAATCCAGCTACCACTTTTGAAGAGTGTGGAGCTAAAACAGAGGTTCGGGAGCAAAAGCAAGATATTGTGCAGGATCCCTACACACAGCACCAGCTAAGGGGTGAGCCAAATGCCTAAGCTACCCCTCCAGGACGACCTCTGGACACACCCCTACCCTCAGCCCATATAAGGAAAGAACTTGCCCCACCTCGCTTACCCCTGCTGTAGCAAGGGCCCCAGTATAGCCTTTCTGAATTTCTTATCTGGCCTCTAATCAATTTCTATCCATTGGGAAAGGCCAAGAGCCTTTGTTGGTAACAAAACCAGAACCCGGAGAAGGGGCCTGGGCTCCTATGTCATATTTGCTTCCTCCGCTCAGTCTCTCAGCCCTTTGCCCCAGGCCTGGCCACAATGCTGGCCTCAACCACCTCCAGGGAACTTGGGAAGATGGGGAGCTCTTCTTTGAGCTTGGCCAGCTCTCTGGGGCCCAGCTCAAAGCAAGGAGCCCTGCCCAGGTCCAACCTCCAGGCTTGTTCCCTGCCCCAACCTCTCCCACACCATCCCAAGCGCTGGGCCATGTGTGCAAGGCCCTTCCCCTCGTGGGCCCATGACCTCCTCAGCCTCATACCAAGTCTTCAGGTCTTCTTGAACCTCTGGCCACCTGAGGAGTTGGCCACCCCAGAGGCACCATGACCCCGGAAGCTTCTGCCAGCCTTGTTTCACATGTAGGGGCTTGTGGGGTGGTGAGGCACGGTCCCTCCAGTCTTCTCCCCCTCTCCCCAGCAGACAACTCAAGGAGCTCAAAGTCTGATGGAGCTCATGAAAGAGAAGACAACTGTTATCACAGACCAAGAGAGGGTCGGGCCAAGTGCTGAGAGCCCTCAGAGGAGGTGGGGGAGGGTGATGGAGGGGCAGGAAGGCTGCCTGGAGGAGGCTGCCTTTGAGCTGATATGTAACAGTGATATGAACACTCTGGAAGCAGGGGGCAATTGCCACAGGTGGAGTTGTGAAGCTTGAAAAGGGAGGCTGGTTGTGAGCAGAGGTACCTTATCTCTTAGGTTTAAGTTAACCCCAGTGATGAGGAGCATCTCTGCTATGTCCCACCAGGCGTGCTCCGTGGCAAGTTGGAGGGGTGTCCGTTTCCTCTGGAGAAGAGCCAAGGGAATGAAGAGCAGAGAAGCATGTAGGCATGGTGTGTAGCTCAAAGCTGGGACAGGACCAAGGGGGTCCACTCCCTTGTTAACTGGGTCTTAACAGAATTTCTCTCTAAGAAGTTATAAGGAAGGGTAAACTTGGTTTAATCATAAACATACTATTCAGGAGAGAAAACTTAGTGAAAAACAAAAAAGTAGAAAGAACAAAGAAAAAATACCACTCACTAGCTCACCCAAATCAACCTCTGTTACAGTCTTAGCACATTTCTTCTAGTCTTTTGTTTAATGCAATTATTTTTAGTTTTATGACTTTACATATTTGAGATCATTCTATATTACATTTTGTATATGTATAACTTTCTGCATATTATAAACTCAATAAACACCATTTTTCATAGTCCCATAAAAGCCAATCTATGTCTGTACTGTAATTTTATGCATGAGACCCAGGTTCGATTCCTGGATTGGCAAGATCCCTGGGATAAGGAAATGGCAACCCACTCTAGTATTCTTGCCTGGAGAATCCCATGGACAGAAGAACCTGGCAGTCTACAGTCCATGGGGCCACAAGAGTAGGACACAACCTATCAACCAAACCACTACCACCATAATTTACCCAATCACTTCTCTCTTATTAAGTATTTGGGCCGTTTTTGAAATGAAGACTGATACGGTGTTACAATGAATCTCTTGGTGCATGAGCTCAATATATTTCTTGAGGCTCAATTTTCAACTGTGCAAATACTGACTGTTTGAAAGATACATGTTATATTCTGTCAAATTGCTTTCCACTACTAGTGGCTGTGGATGGTCGCCCCAAGGATTGTATGATTGGGGGGTAAATTGTGGGGATGGGGGTTTTAAAACGATTCTGATTACAGCTTCAGGACTCAGAAGCCTTTTGTTATACAAGACGAACCCAGTCACTGCTGCCCTGGTAATTTTCCCTAAGGGGGGAAAAAATCAATGAAAGGAAAAGGCTAAATATAGGAAGATGTTTACTTTAGTGTTCTATATATCATGACAAAAACTTGGGAATACCCAAATGCTCAACATAGAAGAATGGTTAATAAAATGTTGCTACCTTCAACAAATATTCAAACAGCTTTTTACAAGCTAAGAAAGCAATTCTTCAACTCTGGGCCAGGCTGGTAGACCACAGCCAAACTCTGCCAGCCTGGGAGGGTGCCCAGAGGTGCCATGGGGCCCAGATGGTTTCTGTAGCCACTTATATTGTCAACAGTGTCCAGATCACTGCGGCGTCCATAAGGCCCTGCAGCAGGCCGGTGACATTGTGCCCCATGGCGAGGTGCACAGGAGCGGCGCCCTGCTGCGGGGGGAGACACACAGATCAGTTGATGGGTCCCTCCCAGGGCTGCCCAGCTGCAGCTTGGTGCTAGAAGATGGGAGTTAGGAGGAGTGTAGACAGTGTTTCTGAGTTTGGCCTCTCTTGCTTCTTGGGCGATATGAGTGGCCTAAACCATTTACAGCCCAAAGCCTGATCTCAGGGTGGGAGGGAGCCCGAAGTTCCACATTTGAGACCTTGATGTGCCAAGCATTCACCACACAACTTTGGGCAAGTCATCCTGCTTCTCTGCTACTCTTCATCCGGCAAATGATGCCTGCTGCAACAAACAGCAGGGTCCCTTCTCAGAACACCACCTTAAAATTCTCTGATAACTCATTTACTTTCCAAGAACCTAGCAAACATATAGGAATGGTATTCTTACTTAATACTTTCATCTCACAAATGAGAACACTTAATGAGATCATAAAACTAATATGACTCACCCAAGGACGCGTAACTAATAGAGACCTTGTGTCATTGGACTTTCTACCCCCAGGGTCTAGGTAGGTGCCTAACAACTATTTATGTATGAAATCAATGAATGAGACAGCCAGGACCAGAACACAGGTCTCACCCCAAGCCCAACAGTCACCCCAAGCCTCACTTGGGTCTGGAGGATTCCATCAAGTGCTCCCTGTGAACACTGACTACGTGACGAAGTGTGGCTACTGCCACAGCACCCTTCTGTCTAGGTGTACGGTGCCACACATATAGTGGGACAGGACAAAACAAGAAAACTCAATGGATTTTAGATGGATACTATCAATGGATAGTAGATGAATACTATTAGTAACTGTGGAAAACGCCCTCGTATAATGAGCAATAAAAGGTTGTAAAACAGAACACACACAGACACAACAAAAACATTCATGACTACCGTTAATAGTTTTGGCCAGGAAAAAAGTAGCTTATGGATATCAGAAGATTTAAACTATATGATTATTTGTAGGCAACGTGATTGTACATCTAGATGTGTTAAAATAGCTACTATACCCCAACAACAACAAAAAAAACTCTAGCAAAATTAACGAAAAGTCATACAGAAGATAAAAATACCAGATTCAATAACATTCCTATATTGAATGCCTACAAGAAAAGACATGTTTTAAAAAGATAGTCTATTCACAATGACAGCCAAAATACATAAAGTACCTATGAAGAGTATAATTGGAAATGACTATTACAAAGGCAAACAAAAAACCATAAGACACCACTGAAAGGTATAAAACAAGACATAAAGGAAATGGCAAGACATATTCCTAGTGAAAAAACAAAATATTACAAAGATGACCATTTTATCTTATATTATTTACAGACTTAATGTAATCCCAAACCCAAACTGCAAATAAATGCCAAAAAGTATTCTAAAATGGGCTTCCCAGGTGGTGCTAGTGGTAAAGAACCCACCTACCAAAGAGGAGATGTAAGAGACATGGGTTTGATCTCTGGGTCAGGAAGATCCCCTGGAGGAAGGCATGGCAAACTACTCCAGTATTCTTGCCTGGAGAATCCCATGGACAGAGGAGCCTGGCGGGCTATGGTCCATGGGGTTACAAAAGAGTCGGACATGACTGAAGCGACTTAGCACATCACAGCATTCTAAAACGCATCTAGAAAAAAATTTAGAAACCCAGGAAAAACTGCCACAGAATTTCAACAGATCATTGCTAAGTAACTGTGAAATTCATAAAATAAGGTGAAAAGAAGGTCTGCTGTGTGAGTGAATGGGCAGACATGGGAAACTGGCTCATAGAACGATTCAGATGAGCTGGGAAACCCAGCAGAGCTATAGTGGTGGCTTTCCAGGAAGCTGCAGACCACAGAGATAAAGTAACCAAGGAGGCTGTTTATGGCTTTCATCATCCTAGAAACAGGTGGGAGGGGTTGTGGTGGAAAAGGGGAGTGGCAAGAGATCAGTATTGCTTTTCATTGTTTTACACATTATTTGTAAAAACCAAAAGAACTAAAAAGAACAAAAGGATCTAGTGAGATGCCTTCTTCCCACCACTATCATCCATCTGCTCAGTTCTCCCCACTCCCATAGTAACATCTTATAAAGCCACTCAACAATACCCTAACCAGAATACTGACATTGATAATACCCATCTTACTCAGGTCTCCCCAGTTTCACTCCCAGTCATTTGTATACATGTGTATTTTATGCAATTTTTTCATTAATGGGTACATACGTAGGTTCATGTATCCATTACATAGTCAAGATACAGCAGCGTTCCATCACCACATGGGTCGCCTGTGTTCTCCTTTTAAAACCACACCCTCCTCCCTCCTCTGCCCCCTCCCACCCTCAGCAACCACTAATTTGTCCTCCGTGTCTATTTTGAGCAGCAAGTCAGGGGAGACTCTTCAGTGTGGCCCCTCTCATCCACGTCCCACACTTACATGATCAGCCACATCAGTACTGCTTCCTGCCTGGATGAGGGTCCAGACCAAGTCCTTGGAGCCACCAAGGGCTGTATAGTGGAGGCAGCTCTGATTTTTTTGAGAAGGAAACAGGCATCAGTGCAGCATCCCCAGGACCCCTCACAGTGGGGTTTACAAAGCACTCTGGGATTCATTATTCCATTCACAACTCACAACTCCCCATCCCGGGACTATTATCTCCATTAAACCCAAAAGAGAGAGAAATCAGTGACTTGCCTAGGCCTGGTGACTAGTGAAAGGAGCACACCATGGTCTCAGGATTTTCCTCACCTCCAGCCACAGACTCTGGAACAAAAGCCAAAAGCCTTTACAATCCTGAGCCAGTGAAGACACTCAGAGAAGAGACTCTGAGAAGATGGTTTTCAAAGAGGGGGACTGATAAGATTTGCAGTTCAAGGCAAACCCCACCCAGCACGTACTATCCAGCTGGAGCTTGTGTCTGCAGGTCCACAGAGGAGATTGGCAGGGCCAGAGCGAGGGCTTTCTCCTGGATGGCCCTTCATCTAGGAAGGACCTGCTAAGTGACCAGCTGTCCCAGGTTGCCCTGGACTGAGGGCTCCCTAGAATGTGAGCCTTTCTGTTTTAAAATCGGGATAGTATGAGGCAAACCAGGATGAGTTGGTCACCCTGCCAAAGTCTTGTCTGAGCAAGTACACGAGGTGGGTGGGAACCCATCCACCTCCCGGTGGGAAACGCGATCGCTTTGGGTTGGCTGCTCCTCTGAGACTCTGCTACATGACCTTGCGAGGGGTGGGAATGTTGGAATGGATCACGGCCTCTGCCTGAAACAAGTCAAGGCGGGAGCAAGAGGCCCAGGGAGGCCTGGAGTCTCTTCTCCAGGGCATCTCTAACTCACCCGTGACCACCAGCTGGACTTGACCTCCGAGTCTCCTAAACTCCTGCGCTGTTACTGCTGGGGAGGCGCCGTGGCATGCAGCATTCTCGCTCCTCCCAGCGCCTGGTGCTGGGCACAGAGAAAGGGCCTTGCTGATGGATGACCATGATTGGGTGCCTGGGGGCAGTCACGCTCCTTCTCTGGGTTGTCCTGCTCCCCCGACACCCCTGGGGTAGTAGCCTCCATCCTTTCCAGGGGAGTTCTGCAAATTAATGGGCTTATAAAGCATTATTGGCCAAAAAAAAGGGAATTCCTTGGTGGTCCAGTACTTAAAAGACTGCTTTCACTGCCAGGGCTGTGGTTCAGTTTCTAGCTGGAGAACTAAAATCCGGCGGACCACATGGCATAGCCCAAATAACACTAATACTAATAATAAAGCATTATTTACACTTAAGGGAAGTTATGGTTGCTATTATTATTAAATTTACATTTGCCATTTTGCTATTTGTTTTCAGAATGTCTCCTCTCTTTTTTATTCTGTTTCCCCCAGACTGCCTTCTTTTGTGTTAAATATTTTTTTTTAGCATATCCTTTTCATTCCTCCGTTTTTGCTATTATTTATATTATTCACTATTAATGTTATTTTTGCCACATTATTGAAATGTGGACCTGAGTGTCCCTCAGACGCTCAACCACCAAAAAAGATTATTTGTCACTGATCAAAAAATAAAAAGCAAAACAAAGCAAAAAAACCAACTTCCTACTTAAAGAAAGGTGACAATCCTCCCCCTGCCCCTTTTCAAGGACACAGAATTTCTATGGCCAACTCAAAGAGCACAATGGGAGGGGAGAAAAGAGGCCTGTCCCAGAGTCACACCCAGGCCTCAGCTCTGAATGCTGGGGTGGGCGGCCACAGCTGGAGACACACACACCCCACTCCACCGGGCAAGGCAAACCTGTCAGGCCCTGAGCTCTGGGGTCAGAGAAATAGGCTTCTCAGAGTCAGCTTTGCTTCTTATTAGCTTGAGCCGTGGGAAAGTCACTGAAGTTTTCTCATCTGTAAAATGGGGGAAATTTTTCTGAGATAATATTCAACCATTATAAAAGGGCTTTGAGAACTATCAAGTGTCCAACAATAAGACTCGAATGGGTACGGAGCTCCTATTAAGTCCCAGGCACTACACTAGCTATTTAGTCCTCATGGCAACATAAAAAAGTAAGTATATATCATGGGCTTCCCTGGTGGCTCAGATGGTAAAGAATCTGCCTGAAACACAGGGTACATAGGTTCGATCCCGGGGTCAGGAAGATCCCCTGGAGAAGGGAATGGCTACCCACTCCAGTATTCTTGCCTGGAGAATTGCATGGACAGAGGAGCCTGGTGGGCTGCAGCCCATAGGGTTGCAAAGAGTCAGACACAACGAGCAATTAACACACACACAAGTATATACCATCTTCAATTTATAGCTGAGAAAAGAGGCTCAGAGAGGTAGAGTAACTTGCCCAAGGTCACAGAGTGCCGCGGTAGAGAAGCCAAGTCCAGGACCTGAGCCTGCTGCCTCATAGCTTTGCTCACACTACGTTCAGGAATCTGGGGCTGCTGCAGTCACAGCCGACTCAGTCACAGCCCGGCAGCTGAGGACACACCCTGGCCCTGAGGAGGCCCAGCTACCTGGGTGAGGGTGTTCGCGCTCCTCCCCGCCTCTAGGAGGCGCTGCACACAGGTGAGGTGGATCCCTCGGCAGCCGCGTTAAGGGCGGTCAGACCTTCCTGAAACCCAGAGAGGTGGTGTGAGGGCAGCAGGAGGCTGAGGCCAGAGCCGAAGGCGGAGGTCACCGCTCTTGCTGGGGCTGCCGGGCTCTTTGAGCTCTCCCCTCCCTGCTCCTGCGGACGATGAGCTGGTTATCAGTGGCTTCCTGAGCCCCACGCCCGATTCTCACCTGGAGGGGCATTTGGTGCGGTCAGTCCGTCCCCCACAGCTCTGCTCCTGTCTCCTCGCCCTCCTGTCTCTGCTCCCCGCCCCCCTGGTCATGTGACCTCCCGCTCCTTTAAACACACTCGGTGTTAAGGACTGCTCCATGATCCCTGATGCCGTGTTCCTCTGAGCTTGGAGTTTTGTGCTGCCGCTCATCTTTTCCTGGCGGGCTGTTAATCTGAGAACATGTCCTTGTTCTTGGTTCCAAGGCCCCCGCCAGGAGAAATCAGACAGCACCATGGGCTGTGGGCTCCTGGAAGGCAGGGGACAAGCCCACCTCACACATCTCTGCCTCTGCCAGGCGGTGACTCACCGCGTTCTGCTCCTTCAGGCCCAGCCTGACGGCCACGCGTCGCTGGTGCACAGCCAGGTGGGCGGCCAGGTGAAGGGCTGTGTTCCCTTCTGTAAGGAGAGGGGCTCCTGAAGGGTCGGTGGGATCACAGACCCTTGCAGGTCCTGGGGACCCGCTGGAGCTGATGTCCAGACAGGGGTGACACGTCCAGGGTGACAGAGCAGGTCTGTGACAAGCTAGAGCTCTGCTGGGCCAGTGCCACCCTGCTCGGAGAGCTGTGCCCCAAGCTCCCCAAAACCAGGGGCATTTTCAAGGACCAGGTTCTCATCTCTTTTTTCACGCTTTAAGATAAACACATTACTTAAAAAAAAAAAAAATTCCATGCTCCAGGTTAAAGCTGGTCCCAACTCAGTGAGCCCAGATCCATGCATTTCCTCTGCTCAGGCCACAGCCCCAGAGACTCTCCTTGAACTCAGGCTGTGTCCGGTGGCCACATGCCCAGTTTCTCGTCTCCTATATCTGTTCTAGGTGTTAGCTTCTTATTGAATGGCACAGCCCACCCTGACCTCGCTATTGAAAACTGCACCTTCCTCCTGATCCCCTTATCCTGCTTCACTGTTCTTTTCCCCCAGAGTGCTGACCACCTCTGGGGTGGTCTAACACCCTCTACCAGCTACTTGTTTACTATATATATTGTTTATTGTCTGCACCTCTTGGCTGGAACAGAAGTGCCACAAAGGCAAGGATTTCTGTCTTATTTTCTTCTGTAAAGTTTTCCCAAGTGCCTAGATTAGGGCCTGGGGCACACGGCAGATATTTGTTCTATAGATATTTGTTCAATAATCAATAACAGAGATGCAGAACCTGACCTGTGTCTCCTGGAACTTGAGAGCAGTCTCACCCTTGAGAAGTCTAAAGGTGACAGTGGCAGAGCCATGACAGATGACTCCACTGGGCGGGCAAAGGGCACAGCGTCTCTTGTGTTGGAAGTGGCCTAACTGAGGACAGACTGTTGGGGGTCATCCTTAAAGAGATCTTGCTTCAGGAGGGTAAGAGGCCCCAGGGAAGAGGAGGCAGCTGAACGTGGCCAGCCCAAGACAAGGTATGTCCCTGCAGGGAAGACGTAGATGGAGACAGGGCAAAGACCTTGGAGTCACAAACAAAAGCATCCAGAAGGGAAGACTCAGCTTCAGCCATTCATCATGTCCAGGAGGCTGCGGGAACAATTGAGCTGAATCAGTCAAGGGGGCCTTTTGGCTCAAGGGCTCCCCTCTGCCCTGGGCTGTCTCAGTACCTTCCCCAGGAAGGAATTCAATTTAGGGACTTGTCTGGTGGTCCAGTGGTTAAGAACCTGCTGCCTTCCAATCCAGAGGACTCGATTCCTGGTTGAAGAACTAAGATCCCACATGCCATGGAGACATTAAGCCCACGTGCCATAACTACCGAGCCCACACACTGGAGCCCATGCACCACAACCAGAGAGGCCCACACACTGCAACAAAGACCCAAAGCAGCCAAAAGGAAAAAAAAAAAAAAAAGAGACACAAAAACAGACATTCAATTTAAACACAGATCTTTCAAGGACCCAGTGAAGATGTGAACATGTACTTAAAGTAGTTAAGCCATCCCCCACCTCCATGATAAATCCACACATACATAAACTATCTTACTGGGTCAAAGATGAAACATTTACATTTCCCTGATGATCATCATCAGATTATATTAACACGTAAAACTAAGTTTAGAAAATCCCCTTGAGCACTTGGTTCCACTCCTCTCCCACTTGCTGCGTGGTTGGCTTGCCTCACCCAGGGACCAGGCTGTGGGTGATGTAGCCGCATTGTGAAGCCTCTGTGTTCAACGAGGCAGGAAAGAAGTGGGTGAACTGTGGGGCCCGGCATGTGCCCCTGTGGTAACAGGCCAGGGCTTCCCTCTTCCTTCTGGATTATAAATATCTACTCACTGTCCTTTGAAGCTGCAGGTGGCAGGGAACCCCTAACAGGGTCTCACTCTCTGCCCATGTAGGGCAGGGAGCTGGGTGGAAGGAGGCCATGGCCTTGGGCCTGAACTTTCCCCTCCACTGAGGGGACGTCCAGCCTCTCCTCCTCTATGGGGTCCTGTCAGCATCTCCTTGCTGTTTCCCAAGGAATTAATCACTCTCTCTGGGCTCTCAAAACCTCCCTATCACAGCACCTGCAGTGTGAGTTGTGTTGTCGTCCGTTGTAACAGGTCTGTCCTGCTCCGCACGCTGCAGGGATCGTAGCAGGAGTCAGATCTCCAGTGGCTCAAAGCCTTGAAAAGTTTACTGTGCCCTCTCCCCCAAAGACATTAAAAATGAGAACACTGCTCATTGGAAAATTTTGATACAACACTTAACGTGCATGCATGCTCAGTCATGTCTGTGATCCCCATGGACGGTAGCCTACCAGGCTCCTCTATCCATGGGATTCTCCAGGCAAGAACACTGGAGTGGGTTGCCATGCCCTCCTCCAGGGCATCTTCCTGACACAGGGATTGAACCCTTGTCTCTTATGTCTCCTGCATTGGCAGGCAGGTTCTTTACCACTAGCACCACATGGGAATCCCTACAACACTTAACAGGGGCATGCAATTTTAAAAGCTGCTTTCTAGAATTTCTGATTGCAAGGTTTTGTGTAAGTTCATCGAAGCTGAACTTTTCTTGCTTTCTGGTTTTGGTGTTCCTGCTCTCCTGGGGCCCTGAGAACATTTTTTTTTTTTGGCTTCCTGGGTAGATGTGTCCTGGCAAGAGTTGTCCTTTACTCTTCTCTGCACTCTACCTTCCTGGCGCAGGGCCTAACCCAGAGCATAGCCCAAATTTCTGAAGTCAAGTACATCCGCCTGACCTGAATCTTGGAATCTGACTTGGCCTTTTTATCCTGGAAAGATGAGTGTGGGCAGACAAATCTGATGCAGATCCCCAGGGCTCAGGCCCCAGGAGGCAGCACGGTGAGAGGGAGGAGCATAGGGGCAGGCAGCAGGATGCTGGCTGCAAACCCCAGCTTGACTCTAGTTTTGCTGTGTGACCTTGGTTAAAGTATGCCCCTCTCTGGGCCTCAGTTTCCACATCAGTAAAATGAGAAGGTTGAACAGGCCCTTCAAGGATATCTCCCAGCTCTAAGATCCTGTGGTTCATTGGTCTGTGAGCTTTGTCACTGGCTTATGAACAGAACTCCTTGTATCCTGGCCAAGCATATTTATCAGAAAATTAACAACAGAACTCCTCCTTTTGTTGGAAGCACTGTTTAGAATTTGCCGCAATGTACTTGCCTATTGATTGATAATGGTCCATTGATACAAGTCATCTGCAGAGTGATCACCTTAGGGCCCCATCCCTCATCCCTTCTCAGGTTGGTAAAATGCTGCTTGTAAGCTCTCTACCCTGGATAAACTGCTCCCTCCTCAGTGCTCTTATCCCTCTTTTGCCATAATCATAGTAGATTATTAAAACAACAAAGAAAGCAAATAACCAGCGGGTGTGTGGCTACCATGCTCCTGACTCTTCCCCATTCCCTGCAGCAACAGACATCCCCAGTGAATCACAGCCCTGCTCAAACCCACCTCAGGCATCACTACCAACCAATCAGGTTGCCATCCTGGATCCCCACGTTTGATCACAGTTCCGTACTAGGATTGTGGTGTTGAATTCCTTGAGTAAGAAACTGTGTCTGGGGCATCTTTGTGCTCTTCACCCATAGCACAGGGTTCAAAAAGTGCCGGCTGGATAAATACCAGACACGTGCTGGTCTTTGGGCCACCAGGCCCTGCAGCACACTAGAGTCAGAAGTAGACACAGGTGAGCTGCCAGTGACCACCCTGCTCAGGAGTCCAGAGCCTGGCCCTCCCCTGGGACCCATGGTCACAGTTCCTTGTCTTTGACACTGTGGTCACAGCCAGAGCCCACAGAGAGGGCGGGAGCATCCAGCTGCCCAAACTCTGCAGCCCAGGGAAACGCAGTTCTTCCTAGCTGGCCAGGGAGAAGAAAGGGAAGCTAGTTTCCGCAGCCACTCTGGGCTTGCTGTGCCCCAGACACTCTCCCCTCCCCTTGCCCCACACATCCTGCCTGGAAAGCCCAGGCCCAACTTCCTAGCAACACCCCACTTGAAATCTTCCTGTGGCTCCTCCTGACAGTTCAGTGAAGGACCCGTTTCTGAGGCTGGGGGTTGAGATCTCCACGAAGGCCCCCAAGAACCTCTCAGAGTTTCACTCCCAAGATTTCAATCCATCTGAACTCGCATACCAAAAGCCCTTTTCTACCTCTAAAACTCTAGCAATGGTCTCTCCAGTGTTTAGAATGACCCCTACTCTCTAATCTTACTGACACTATCTGGTGCATCCATCAAATGCCACATCCTCCAGGAAGCAGAAATCAGAGGCTCCCTTCTCTGATGTGTCTAGTCCTTGTCAGAGTCTGAGGGAGCTGACCATGCGCCCTGAAGCCCCTTCTAGACAAGCAGCTCCCTGAGGCACGGTCCAGTCTGCAGCACCCATGGTTCAAAGGATGCACCCATGGTTCAAAGGATGCACTCAGGAATGTACAGGACGGGCCCTGCCGCGGGAACCCCAGGTCCAAGGGAAGGACACACAGCCTCGGGGCTACACTCAGCCTGTCACACGGTCTAGCACCTCATCCTCCAGGTCCTCCATTAGGAACAGCAGCACTGACACGTTGCCTTCTGCGGCTGCGAATTGCAGTAAGGTCAGGCCAGCCTGAAACAAGCCCAGAGGTACCCTGCAGTCTGGGAAGGGAGGCCCTGCTCACACACTGGCTATCCCCCAAACAATGAATATTTGTGATCGGAACAGCTTTCCAAAGGAAACCATGCTGAAAATGGGGATGAGTGGCTGGGACAACCACAGCACCTACTTAGCCTCACAGGGGGGTTCGTGGGGGTCAGGATGCCAAAGTTCACATCCCAGGTCCCGCATTTATCAGCGATGTTGTCTTGGGCATGTTACCTGTACCTCTCTGAACTCCTAGTAGGTCAAATTAGGATAATACAGGGTTATTGTGTTTCACTTTATTGAAGGTCTCTTAGTCCTGGAAGTAATATTTAAGTGAGGGATGAGGGAGGCTTGCAAATCCTATGTTTATAGCCCAGAGCTTCTACCCTGGCCTTGCATTACCACTAGATTGTCTGAAGCATGTTTTTGAAATAGATTGTAACCATTAATGGGTCATAAAAATCAATAGAACAGTCTTCTACATCTTGACAGTGATTTGGGTTACAGAGAAGTAAAGTAAGTAAAGTCACTCAGTTGTGTCCGACTCTGCGACCCCATGGACTATAGCCTACCAGGCTCCTCTGTCCGTGGGATTTTCCAGGCAAGAGTACTGGAGTGGGTTGCCATTTCCTTCTCCAGGGGATCTTCCTGACCTAGTATTTTTTAAATCTCAGTGTGTATTTCATTCTATACAAAGAATTTGAACTCTAGTTAATAATATGCTGGTGTGTTTAGAGAGAGGTACCCTGATGTCTGCAATTTATTTTGAAGTGCATCCAAAATGTATAAAAAAACTCTAAAAACTCATCAATAATAAATTATCCCAATTAAAAAATAATTTGCACCCCAAATAACATATAGGAATGACAAGTAAGCACATGAAAAAATATCTGACATGGTTAGTCTTCATTGAATTTAAAACCACAAAGAGTTTCTAACAATAGAATATCAAAGGGAAAAATATTAACATTCCAGTGGAGAAAACTGGCACCATTTTAACCAAGTGCTCAAACTTGATATTATGATTTACAATAAAAATATATATTTGATCTTCATCCTGGTTCCTGGCACAGAGCTCCAAAAACCCTAGGAATTTCCTAAATGGTCAGAGTGATAAAAGTGTCTTTTATGATGTTAATGAGGTGACCTGAAGCTCCTACGTAACCTAAGGATGGAAGCTGGTTACGTAACCTAAGGATGGAAGCTGGCTGCCCAGGGAACCAATGGTGATTAGAGGTGGAACTTCCAGTCCCACCTCCCCACCTCTGGGGAGAGGGGAGGGGAAGGAGGTTGTCAGTGACCTAGGGCTGAGAATTTAATCTATCAAGTTTATATAATGAAGCCTCCATAAAAACCCAAAAGGACAGGGCTTGGAGAATTTCCAGGTGGGTGAACCAGGTGACGTCCATGTGCCAGGTCCCAAACTCCATGGGGACAGAAACACCTGCTTTCGGGACCTTGCCCTATGCATCACTTCGCCTGGCCATTTATGATTCATATCTTTAATATCCTTTGTAATAAACCAGTTATAAAATAAGTCAATGGTTACCTGAGTTCTGAGAACTGCTCTAGCAAATTAATTGAACCTAGAGAGGAGGTCGAGGGAACTTCTGATTTATAGGCTATCATATAGCCAGGCAACCATCTGCACTTGTGATTGCTATCTAAAGTGGGGGCAGTCCTGGAACTTCCTTGGCAGTCCAGTGGTTAAGACATCATCTTCCAATGCAGCGGGTACGGGGCAGGGGGACGCAGGTTCAATCCCTGTTGGGGAACCAGGACCCTGCATGCTGCACAGTGCAGTCAAAATAAATAAAGTGGGGCAGTCCTGTAGGACTGAGCCCTTAGCCTGCAGAATCTGACACTATTTCCAGGTAGTGTCAGAACAGAATTAAATTTGTGAATGCCCAGTCAGTGTCCACAGGAAATTGAGTTAACTGCTTGGTGAAAAAACACACATCAGAATTGGTCTTAGAACTGGCTCAAGAGAACATCACCAGTAACAAATCACAATGGTTATCAAATGCTCTCTGATAGGAGGTGATGAGAAGGACATTTGACCTCTGTGGTCTTCTTCCCCAAATTCCATAACCCAAATTTAATCATGAGAAAAGTATCAGACAAAACCAAATTGAAAGACATTTTACAAAATACTTGACCAGTACTGGTCAAAAGTGGCAAGGTCATGAAAAATAGGACAGTCTGAGAAACTGTCACAAGATCAAGCAAGATGATTTTGCTACTCTTCTCATCAAGAGGAGGAATCTGGTATTTTCCTCCCCCTGAAATGAGGCCGACCCTCTGATGGGCTTTGACCAGTAGAACAGGGTGGTAGTAGTATCTCAAGAAACCTTGGGACTTCCACTCTTGCTTTTTTGACATCCTGGTTGGGGGAGAGGGAGGGAGGTGGTCAGAGAAGGAAGTTTCTGTGAATATCAGCTACCACCTGGAGACATACCATCCCTGACATTCCTTTTCCCTGCAGAGGGCCCAGACATGTGAGACTGTGTTCTCATAAGTGAGCCTAGGCAAGGCCAGAGGAACTGGCCAGTTGCCGTTAGAAAAAAAATAATAAATCACTGTTACTTTAAGCCACTACATTTTAGGATGATTTGTTCCCCCAAATAGATAAGTAATATGGAGTGGATCTGCTTAACTAGAAGATCCCACTGTTCAGAACCCTGCTCCCCTCATATACCTAAGACCTCATTCTGTGTTGATAGCAAATATCATCTTGACAGCTACTGAATTCCCCAGAACCACTGAGATTCTCTCTAAGGCTCCGCCAGGACTAGACAGGAAGATCCTCAACTTGAACCTGGGTGTCTTCACAGGGTGCCCTTCTGAGGGCCCCTCTCTCACTCCTGCACTCTTGGCTCAGATCCTGTGGCCCATAACCCAGGGACATCCTTCACTGGGAGCTGTCAGACATGTCCACCATTGCCAACAAAATCCTGACAACTGGACTTCCCTGGTGGTCCAGTGGCTAAGAATCCACCTGCCAGCCACCAGGGAAGCCCGAAATGGTAAATATTGTTTGGTAAATATAAAGAGACCCTTCTCCTCATATAAATATTTTATTTTGCTGCTCCTGCTAAGTCGCTTCAGTCGTGTCCAACTCTGCGACCCCATAGACGGCAGCCCACCAGGCTCCTCTGTCCCTGGGATTCTCCAGGCAAGAACACTGGAGTGGGTTGCCATTTCCTTCTCCAATGCATGCATGCATGCTAAGTTGCTTCAGTCGTGTCCGACTCTGCGACCCCATGGACAGCAGCCCACCAGGCTCCTCTGTCCACAGGATTCTCCAGGCAAGAATACTGGAATGGGTTGCCATTTCCTTCTCCGTATTTTATTTTAAAGATAGTCATTTAAGGCAAAAAAAAAAAAAAAATACTGTGTCTGTACACATTGTGAGGTGTATAGCATGCATGTAATGTATAAGGAAATGCATTGTGCGGACTTCCCTGGTGGTTCAGGGGTAAAGAGACTGCCAGTGCAGGAGACATGGGTGGGATCTTCCTGACCCAACAGGGAAGACCCCTGTTATCATCCATTTATTCATTCATCTTAGGTTTGGAACCTACAACATTCCAGGCATTATAATTCATTGTGGGGAAATAAAGTGAGAAAAGCATCACATTTGCCCACAAAGCTATAATCCTGGGGGGTGACAGAGAGTGACTAAGGCCAGAAGAGAATTTAGAAAAGGAAAGGATTAACTTCTGATTGATAAAATAATATTACTACCTAATTTCTGAATTACTATTCTATAGAAGGACCTGTTCTCAATGTTTTACTCATAATATCTCATTCAGATTTCGTGACAGTCCTGGAAGATAAGTGCAGCTGTCTCCATTGTATAGATAAGGAAATGGAGTAACTCGCCTGAAATGTCACAGTCAGTGAGGGTCTATCTAACGCGGATAGTCAGACTCTAAAACTAATGAGTCCATCCTAAAGGAGATCAACCCTGGGTGTTCATCGGGAAGACTGATGCTGAAGCTCCTGTACTTTGGCCACCTGATGCGAAGAGCTGACTCATTGGAAAAGACCTTGACGCTGGGAAAGATTGAAGGCAGGAGGAGAAGGGGACGACAGAGGACACCAAAAAGAAAAAAAGAAAAGAAAATACCGGCCAAATGACCAAAAAATATGCAAAAAAAGACTCCATTCATAATGCTTCTCTGACCTCTGATTCTCAGATCTTTTCAGTTATAGCATAATCACTGACATCTAATTCCCCAAAGCATGTTATCTGTAATGTTCTCAAGGCAATTACAACACTTCTGTTCAGACAGCCATCACGGTTCTCTATTTCACATGCTCAGAGTATTAATGGCAGTGAGGAGCCTTTGGCTCATGAAGGAATCTCCTAGATGAGCTGCTTCTTCATGCTCGTGTAGATGCTTATTGGGCCTAAGCCTGACCGTTGTTTTGTTGTGAAAGAAGGCCAACCAAAGGGCATTCATTCTCAGAATAGCATTACCAGAGATTTTGTCTAAAGGGAAGCTTTCACTAGGGAATTAATTATCTTTCTAGCTTTCTATAGAATAGAAATCTCCATTCAAATATTTAAAACTATTTTTAAACTTTTGTAGTTTGAACTTTATACATTTTTAGAAATACATTCTATGTTTCATCTTTCTTTCTAGGCTTCAAAATGTTTGAGGAATAGATATTCACCTTTTTTGGGTCTTTTCCCATAATACCATGAACAGTGGAAGGGCAAAAATAGATTATAGACGTGCATTGAATAAAAGGTTCTCTCTTCCATGATTTCCCAAAAACATAAGTATACTCAATAAGAGGCTGCTATAATTTGGTCAGAGATTCTTCTATATCTGAGAGGAATACTCTTACTTCAACATATAAAGATATTTTTCCTTAGGCTACCCAAAGGTGAAAATAATAAAATGCAGGAGGAAATATTTCTGTTCTATATTTTTCCTATTGTCATAGACATTGTGGAAATTAACATTTTAGTT